CCAGAACTGTTCCACGTTGTATTTTACATGGCAGACAGAGGATAAAAAATGGTGAATTCTGCATCTGTCACTATTCTGCATCTGTCACTCAAAGCAAATTCCCCTTTCCCTTTTTGGGAAAGTTGCCTAAGGATGATGGGATATGGCTGATAACAATAATCCATATTTAGGCAACCAGAAGATTGTGACAACATTAGCCAGAGTAAGGGAATGCAGACTTAAAATCAAAACATCTGTTATGGTAACTTTAACTTACCCTATTATTCCTAGATGTTGCAGTGTCATAACTTACATTCCTGCATTGTCTTGCCGTAAAAATATACATCTAGCCTTGAAATTCAGCACTAACTTTAAATTAATTTGCTTTAAACTTCGTATCATAAAATTAATATTACTGGAGCACGGCAGTTCATCTTTAGACACTAATAGTACAAGTAAGTGATCTTCTACTTGATAGATTGCAAAATGTGTTGTATTTTATCCCTGATTATGAGAATAATTTGATTTGCCTCAGCATAGCTATTAAATAGTTACAGAGAGATTGATTGTAGTGGTATGAAGGATTTCACCATTAATAGTTTTATGAGAGAGATTCAGAATACAGACAGACTTCATGGCTGTTCTTAACCGGAATATCTGAATACACACCCTTCCTTCCCTACAACCCGTGCACATCAGCTTGCCATGGAAATTTCTGTCAAAATAGAGATTTCTTTGATTTTCCAGTGCATCTATCACAACATGTTGCTGTATCGCCAGCACTATAGCAATGAGGACATAGTTGCATAAATCATAGGAGACAAATGCCCAGAATAAAATACTATAATGAACAAAGAGGTGTAGTATGGGATGAGCCTGATCCTGTCACGTGAGAGATTTCAGGCAGAAGATTTCGTTCTGTTAATTTCAGAAAGGATCAGTCCCATCACGTGTACTAGGAATTGTTGATATGAATTCCGATTCTGCCCTCTTTCTGCCCGTCACTCTTCTAGTTATGAGCAAGACCCAGTGCTGGTAACTTATAGCTGCTGTGTAGCTTGAATTTAGGAGCGTATGCAGTGTCTGCGCTTGGGCTGCCAAATCACATTGCATGTCCTCTGTTCATTTACTATGGCTGCTAGAATAACTTATTATGATACTGGACTTCCAAAGAATATATTAACTTCCTGACTCTCTATAGTAATACCATACAGCTGGTTCAAATAAACATTCCAAGCCAGTGCATTTTTCATCTTGAAAAAACCAGCGATCCCAAAGAAGTTTTGTATTTATTCAGTGCTTACTGTCATTGCCTTTGACACCAAGCACAAAATTAATAGTTTAAAAAATGGGAGTTACTCTCTAGGCCTTTGCATTGATTCTCTCTTGTTGTTCTTCATTTATTTTGTGGACCATTGCAGTCAAAAAGAGAGGAAAAACTGCTCACGGCATTAATTTTCTTGAGTTATTGCACTGTTCTGTCTCACTAAAACTTCATTGTTGTTTTCTATACTTTGAATAAAATGTGACTGTTTTTATCTGAAGCAGAATCCATATAAAGAATTCATGTTGCTCTTGACTTTACCTTACTATGCAGAAATTTCATTGACATTGGCACAAAAACATAACTAGGTAACTACGTTATCCACATTAAGCTTTTGCAGACTATTAAAAGTATGTTACTTTGTTTCTTTAATGATTTAATCATCAGTTCATTTATTAATATTGGTCCTGTCAAAAGAGCTGCTGAAACATTACAAGTGAGAGCCATAGGCAAAATCATCATGTAAATAATGGATATTTTGGCTGTGGAAGGGCTGAAGGTTTGGTTATATTTGATCACACAGTTTTTGTAGTTATACTATTGTAGGTGCACTGCGTTTTGGCTTCAGAAAGAGTATACATGATTAAATAAAGATTTTGCTCCACATATCACTCATCAGTAACATACTAATTCCCACCAGAGAAAATGAAATATATCACAGCATACAGGTCTTCCATTTCTATTTCATGCTGCCATTTATTAAGTAATTTCCTAATGAAAATTGTTAGATGCGCCAGGTTTCTGAGTTGGATTCTTGTACTCTAAGCTGTAATTATGGAAAAACTTATGGATGGAATTATGGACGTTATGGAAAATACTGTGCCTGTCCATACTTTTCTGAGTTTTGTTTTAATTTCTTGGGCTAATTATGAAGAGAAAAGTGATATTTCCAATAAGTTGTGGAACAATCAGAGTTAGTCGAATACATATGATACCTGTTTCTAAGGAGTTTTCAAAAGCTGGACACTAGTTTTGCTCTCTCATCCAGTTGCGAGTGATGTAAATGGGAACATGTCCATGACTTCAATGGGAGCAGGAGTAGGGGATAGTTTTTCATTGTTATATCGCACGTGAAGAAGGCAATTGTGTATGCAAGGCTTACAATGATGTCAGATCTACATTTTTATATGTTTTGTTACAGTCTGTGAATAACTGGACCGTATGGATATAAATCTGTCTTTGATTAAGACAGATTATTCTGGTGTCCCGTTATAAGATTATTTTACATAAACAGAGTTATCATTGACAGGTACAGAATCATTCTGATTTATAGTTCTTTCTGAAAAATACACACATCTGTGAAAAATGCTAACTTACGGCTGGAATTAAGGGTTAGACGCGGGTTCTTTTTATTCTGCTTTTGTATTAAGGAAAACTATTTTGCCTGTTACTGGTTCAAATAGTCATGGAAATTTGCTTTTTATGAATTATGAAGATCTGTTCTTCATAATTTACAGATAAGGTAAATCGATCCACAGTTTTACGACTGGAAGTGAGGGAGTATTGTAAAACTGCAGTATTAGGCAAAGTACATAAGAACATTCTGAACCCCCAAATGCTATATTAAGGTTACACACGTTTTAAATTAGGAACCTCTGTTCTCACTCATAAATGTCTCAAACTTTCAACTTCTGATCTGAAACTTTTGGTGGTTGAATATTGTAACGGTCGCCACTGGAATTAGTAGATACCGATCCTTGTGCCATATGACAGGGTATATATAACTGTTTGTGACCCTGACCAGGTTCATGTATGTGACTGGAGCAAAGAAATTAAGGTTAGGCTCTCACTAGAGCTCCTGCATGCTAGAACTTTATTATGAAGGTAAAGGTGACTGTTTTTTTAATTAGTCTATCAATATAAAATACACAAAGAATAATATTAGATTTAAATAATTTTCTCCCCATTCACATGACATCTATCATACTGTATTCACAAGCATGAGGAAAGCAAAGCATAGCTCAGTCTCACTGCCTTCAAATTTGTGGTTGTTACCAGTGAATGCCTGAACATTTATCTTTTATGTTTTCAGCTTAGAATTTTAAAAAAATTTTTTGGTGTTGTTTCTTTGTTGTTTTTCTTTTGTTCTTCCTATCTGCAAGACATGTAACATGACAAGCACTGAGCATCTATTTATGTGGAGCATTCAAGGAAATGGAGAGTTATAAATATGTATGTCTGATGATAATATGTAACTATGACAAAGATATTCCTGCCTATATTTTTTGGAGGTGACCATACAAAGATAAGGTTTATCGAAATAATGGTAAAACTAACACTCTAAAAATGTACTAGTTACATAAATATTCAAAAATACAAAAATGTGTTCTTAGTCCCAGGTAGAAAAGCTCCTCTTTGAAATATTTGGAGACAGATGTCCCCGTGTCTCTCTGTCCCCCAAGATCCATTTTCTGCAAAGCTCTTTTAAATGTGAGAGACGATAGAGTTTCGCAACAGTTCATTGCTAGATTTACAATGCTGGAGACAAAGTCATTCTTAAAAAATGGGATAGACTTCTCCCAGGAATCGATCCCTGTTTGGGTTAATGGATTATATGGGTATATGGGCCAGACTGTGACTGTGACTAGCCCTTACGCAGTAACGCTGCTGCTAATGCATGTGAGATCTGGTCTCGTAGGAAACTGCTTCTGGGAGCCCAGCACCCCTACCCTCTGGGTAACCTCTCCAACGGAGCAAGAATAAGACAGAGTCATGCTTATGCCTCCACATTTATACAAAAGTAGGAAGAACAGTCAATGCCTCCCTAAGGGTGCTGTAAGCCAACAACGTCTTTGTATTGGTTTGATTATGGAAAGGCTCTTCCTTCTGCAATTACTCCTAACTTGTGTTGTTTGAAACAACTGTCGTCAAGGCTGCTGCTCAGCATGTAGAAGGTTAATTATTTGGCTCTGTATTTTGACATTATTGATTAGATTTTATGATGTTCTTTTTTGTTCTTTACATAGGACTTTAGCTGAAATCAGCAGGATGTAAAATTGATATTTTGTATTTCATATTCATATATTATTTTAAATAATTTCCAGAAAACCTGTGCGACAGCAAAAGGCAAAAATAGTGGCTGAAATGGTCTGGTACATTAAATTGGGTGGGTTTTTTTGTCCCCGCTGAGTACAATAAGATCACTGTGTCCCAGTCTTTATTGTACCACCTAGCTGTTTTGCGAAACCATGCTGCCACGGGCAGCTTGATCTTGCTGCCAGTGCCACCAGTGGCGGGACCCTTTTTGTCTTCGGCAGAAGCAGGATTGGGCTGCCCAGTGCCTGCAGCATGGAAATTCGTTGGCTCCTCAGCGTTGCTCCTGGTATACAGTGATTTTTCACTCTTCTTTATTTCAAAGAGCTGCATTGAGGGCTGCCGTGCAATAGTAAAACTAAAGCAGTGCAGAGTGTGAGAAAAACATACAAAAACTTTACAAATAACTTCCACTTTTGAAATTTAAATCCTTTATAAAAGGTTGCGAGATTACAGCTATTAATTTTGGTGTGTCCTTTCGGTTAATAATTGCTTTTGAAGTGGCTTTGGCCTTAGATCACGGTAACTTTGTTTTGTGTTACTCAGTGACAGACAGGTTTTGCTTACACATGAATTGATAATATTTTGTAAGAAAGATACAAAGAAACAGCATTGCACAGATGTAGTGTGTATATATGCACATATATGTGCACACAATACTTACTTTCATGCATGAGCCGGTGGTTTTGGGGCTGCAGCGGCAGGACTCGCTGTGCCGCTTGGAGTCTCCAGGCAGCAGCCGCCATTTCCCCACTGTGGCGGCCTGAGGCCTGCCCAACGGCTGGGGGCCGCCTTGT